ACCCCAAAAAATCCCAAATTGAACCAAAAAAACCCCAGAGACACCAAAATATCCCAAATAGAACAAAAAATATCCCAAATAGAGACACCAAAATAACCCCAGAGACCCCAAAAAATCCCAAATTGAACCAAAAAAACCCCAGAGACACCAAAATATCCCAAATAGAACAAAAAATATCCCAAATAGAGACACCAAAATAACCCCAGAGACCCCAAAAAACCCCAAATTGAACCAAAAAAACCCCAGAGACACCAAAATATCCCAAATAGAGACACCAAAAAAAAACCAGAGGCCCCAAAATACCCCAAAATCCCGGGGATTTCCCCCAAATTCCTACCCTCCCTATCCCAAATTCCCAAGAATTCCCCCAAATCCCAACCCTCCCCCACTCCAAAATCCTGGAAATTCCCCCAAATTCTCTGAAATTCCCCGAAATTCCCCCAAAATCCCAGGATTTCCACCAAATTCCCAAAAATTCCCCCAAATCCCAACCCTCCCCAACCCTAAAATCCCATGAATTCCCCCAAAATCCCAGGAATTCCCCCAAATTCCAAAAAATCCCCCCAAATCCCAACCCTCCCCCACTCCAAAATCCCGGAAATTCCCCCAAAATCCCAGGATTTCCACCAAATTCCCCAGAATTCTCCAAAATCCCGGAAACTCCCCCAAATTCCCCCAAATCCCAACCCTAAAATCCCAGAAATTCCCCCAAATTCCCAAAAATCCCCCCAAATCCCACCAGGAAGTAAAAAAAAAACCAACAAAAAACTCACAACAACCTTCAAACAACAAAACTTCTGCAAATCCCCCCAAAACCCCAAGATTTTTTTTTTTTTAACCGCAATTCCTGATTTTTTTTTTTTTTTTACATTCCAGCACCCCCAAAACCCTCCGAAATTCCCAAAATTCCCGAGGGAAAATCCCGGAATCCCTCACCAGAAGACGGGGCTGTCGCCGTCCTCGCGTACCCGGTAATAATCGTGACCCTCGGGGACGGCCTTGGCCAACCCAAAATCCCCGATTTTCACCACGTGTTCGTTTTCCAGGAGAACATTCCGGGCTGCCAGATCCCGGTGGATGTAGTGCAGGGAATGCAGGTAGGCCATGCCCTGGGAAAAAATGGGGGAAAAACGGGAAAAATCGGGAATTTCGGGGGGTTTCGGCGGCGTTTTTTGGGGGATTCAGAGGGGTTTTTTGGGGATTCAGCGGCGATTTTTGGGAATTCAGCCTAAATTTTGGGAATTCAGACCCGTTTTTTGGGAATTCAGCCCCATTTCCAAAGACTCCAACCAATTTTCTGGGAATTCGGCCCCATTTTTTGGGAATTCAGCCCCATTTTTTGGGAATCCAACCCCATTTCCAAAGGCTCCATCCCCATTTTTTGGGAATCCAACCCATTTTCCAAGGGTCCCATCCCA